GGGGGGAGGGGAGGGGCGCACGCGCGGATCTTGAGAAAAATCTCCCAAAACACAGTAAATAAAACAAATAAAATAAAAATACAAATGCAAAAAAGAAACTAAAGACTCAATAACCAGATAACTGAATTCTGAAACACATAAAATAAAAATAGTAATTAATTAGTAAAAGCAGAAAACATAAGCTGGAGAAATGTTTGAATTGGTAGGTGGAAAATTTAATAAGTTATCCATACTTACATACTCGGTGAAAATTTAGAATGTTATGAATAAAATTTTTTAAATCCTAAAAACATCATACAGTAGATAGGAGTTTACCAGGATTTGAGCCCATGCAGCCTGCTCCAATGCACAGTCATCAGAACTACCACACTAAATAGACTGACTGCCTTAAGGTAAAAAGGGCAGCAAAGATCAGGCAAATCCAAACAAAAAGAATAAAAATTGAGCAGGGGTGGAAAAGAAGTTTATCTTCACTGAAACATTACAAAAGGAAGCTTTTTTAAGAGAGAAAATATGAATTGTACAGTTAAATTGTTCTATTAAAAGATGAAGACTCTCAGGATGATTTCAGAACTAAAAACTAATATTCAGTGTCCAAGAAAAATACTCAAAGTGGCAAATAAAGTTAAAATAATAAAGGTTGCTAATGTTTATTAAGGACTTAAAATATGCCAAGCATTGTGCTAGTAGTAAGCACATTATCTGTATCCTTTTAACCCTCATAAAAACCAATTAAATAGGTTCTAATATTATCCTCACTTGACAAATGAAGAAATGAGGCACAGGGAGGTTTATTTCCCCAAAATCATACAGGAGATGGGAGTTTACCAGGATTTGAGCCCATGCAGCCTGCTCCAGTGCCCAGCCATCAGAACTGCCACACTGAATGGACTGCCTTAAAGTATAAAGGGCGGCAAAGGTCAGGCAAATCCAAACAGAATGAATAAAAATTGTATAGTCCATATTCTCTGACCATAAGATATGAAAACTAGTTTTTAACAGCTAAAGTGTTAATAACTGGGAAAAAAATTGCACTTGGAAATTGAAAACTACTTTCCTAACATACCCTATTCAAGGAAAAACATTAAATAGTTACAGAACATTTAAGAAAAAATATAATAGTGAAAAAATAACAAAAATATGAAAGGTAGTTAGAGCAGTACTAAAAGGCAAACACAAACAGACATATTCCTTATTAAAACAAATGAAGTGGCTCATTTTGCAACAGTAAAAGCAAGTAGAAGGAATCAGTAAAGACAAAAGAAGAAAGGTCAAGAGTAAAATCCAGTAAAATATAAATAGTTCTTTGAAGGTGGGAGGGGGTACGAAAAACATAAAAGCTTTAGCAAATCTAACCACGATGAAGAAAAAAAAATCAGATGTGATAAAATCTTACAATCTGAACAATCTAAGTAAAATCTCTATAAAATTCTAATTCAAGAAAATTTGAAGTGTTATTTGTACTCAAGGAGTAATGTAAGACATAAACGGCCAAATTTTTTAATCTGAAAATTTAGTCAAAGACCAGTTCTTTAATATAAAAGGCTACAAACCAGTAGGTAAATCTATTTATACTAAGAATTATGGTGTGTGTATATGTGTGTGTTATCTAAATTAGCTGCTACCATTTCAATTTAAAAAGTCAAGATATTTTACATAACATTTTGGAATTCCAGCTTGTCTTGAATAATTGGAGAAATATCCTGAAATTTTGGTTTCCATGGCCACACATGGCTGGAATGGCAGAGTGGCTAGCCCCTTTGGGTGGAGCAGTTACCCCTGGTTCACCTTAGGACCCACAAAGCCTACAGCCTTCAGTTATGGCACTTTCCTGGCCAGTCCTATACACATTTTACGTGTGAAAAGGGGGAGTGGGGAGCTCCAATGGCTAATGATGGAAAATCAATTCTTTCTAAATTATCTTTAATTGTTGTCCATTTCCATCAAAAAAAAAAAAAATTTAATAGAGTAGGAAGAATTTAACAAATTAATTCTAAAGCTCTTTGGGAAAATTAAGTGGTCGCTCATTAAAAGAATTTTTCAGTAAAGAAAGACAAGAGCAAATTTAAGCTGTCAGCTAATAAAACATATCACAAAGCTGTAACAATTAGAGTAAAATAGAAAAGTCCGTGAAAGAGGTCAGGAATTCGAGAAATCAGTTCATGTTTAAATACAATAAAGACAGTACTCCAAATGAGTAGAAAGGATGGACTACTTAAATCTTAGGGAAGCGGCATAGCATGAAAGGGAATAGCCTGTAGGGCTGAACAGGCTGGACTGGATAGGATACCAATCCGGCACATCCCAGCTGGGTGACCCAGAATGAGAAGTGTCCTTATCTGCAAAATGTGGATAGTCACTGTACCTACTTCACAGAACTGTTATGAAGATTATCAGTTACCATTTGTAACGTACCTAGAACAGGGACTAACACAGTGTTAGTTATTTAATATGTAATATTCAATAAATAAAAGAAAGTAATTCATACTTAGATAATCCTTAAACTTCAGGGAGAAGAGGGGAAGAAGATATGGTGAACAGAAGCTCCCACCATACCACATCAAGAAAATAAATTTCAGGATTTTAAAAAGTGAGTTGTAAAAAACAAAACTAAGGAAAAAAGGACTATATAATGATCTCTAGATTAGGGAAGTCCTTTTAAAATACGACAGGCAAAGTCAATATCAAAACAGATTAATCAATTTGACTATATAAAAATGTCAAAAGTCTATATATCAAGCACTAAGAATTAAGAAGAAAATAAAACACCTGAGGAAAAATAGGGGTTGTGTGTATGTATGTGTATAAACACAATTATAAATCAGTAAGAAAAATTACATGACCAAGTAATTCATAAAGCTTTGCCTGTTTGAGAAAATATGTAATATTGTCATTCATCAAGAATAAAAATTAAAATTATATATATCAACTACTAAATTGATCATGGTTTTAGAAAAAATATATATATTACTGGCCAAAAGGCAGTAAAATTGGTATATTTCTCTATGGAAGATTTTAGAATACACTAAAGCAACCTTTCTGGGGACCACTTTGATTATACACTTCAAAAAACCTTAAAATATTAAGCCCCTTTGACCTAGTAATTCCATTTCGAGGACAAAGCTAGAACATAAGGATTTCAATGAAAAAGGTTCAAGTCACTTTTTCAGAGATGAACCAGAATAAAAAAAAAAAAAAAAAAAGATGTGAAGTAGTTTAAGTTTCAGATACAAAGCTAAGAATTTGCACCTTCTAAAAATTCAGCACTTGTTTCACTATATGATTAATATTTCACTATATGTTTAATATTACCAAACTTCAAAGAAACAGTTTTAAAACAAACCTTTTAACAGCATCCTTCTTCTTAATATCTATAGTATCCCACCACTTTGAAAGGTAAGAGATCTCAGACCATATAAACTTCCTCCGTGAGTCTTCTTTCAGCTTGACGACCATGTTATTAAAAATATACTGAGTCCTCTCTCTAAAGTATTCATCGAAAGTCTCCAACCAACCTAAATCAAGACACAAATATACCACAAAGTTCTGATTCACATGTCTGATTTCAACTCAGTCACAGTCCATTGCATTACCTTTGGATACCTTAGATGTTCCGGTAATATAAAGATGTACATAATAATTTAACAAATGTTTTCAATTAACGAAATTATATTTGAATAAACACAAGACTCAAAAAGTCACTAAAAATAAAATGATAAAAATACTTTGAGAATTACACAAATTCAGATGGAAATGAGAAAAAAAACCTAAGGCCAAAGCATAGGTTTATACTTAACGATTATAATATCTAATTAATTATTTATAATTTATCTCTAGTTTTAAGGAATTTTCTTATTTTAAATCTGAACAGTGTGTTAGCAAGTTGGCATTACTATTCTCATAATATGGGATGAAATTTTTATCCTCTCATGCCACATCTAAAATTCTCCACTAATTAAATATGTTAAACTACAGAAAAAGAAAATCACAAGTAGAAACTATATTTAAAAGCCATCAGTAGGAAAATAAGGTAATTGCAACACTATTATGAATACTGAGAAGTAGAATTCTGCCAAAAATAGGCATTAGTTCCCAAAGGCTGCTCATTATTTCATTTTTTGGTAGAACAAACTGACACTAATCAAACAACAAATATGTACACAACTATGTAAAGTTTTCTCAAAAGAGAATTGTAGTTGTTGATAACGTAGTTCTCTGACTTTTCCTACTACTCAAATATTCTGGAAATTTTATCTAAAGACATTTGCAATTTCATTACGAAGAAACATTTTTGTTTCTTCGTACTGAAATTGCAAATGTCTTTAGATAAAATAGGTCTAAAATAGGTCCCTATCATAGCCCCCCACCCAGCAGAGTATTAAAGCAACAAAAATGAGTGACCAAGGCAAAACCGACATTGCCGCCAATTCCACCTACTGGCAAATCTAACCTCATAGATAAGAGGTTATTCTACTAGAGAATAACCATTTATCTATGAAATCTTACAGGGAAGAATGTGTCTATAAATCCAGGCTGAACTACTACCCTATTGTTTCCAAGTCTCAAACATGTAGGAAAGTAAAATAATAAGGGCTCCAGCTGGCTATTCTTTTGTCTATGATTAAGTTAATATTCAATGTACACTATATTTGCTGGCAACAACAACAACAAGAACAACAAACTCTGCTAGCCTAGGGCACAGAAGACAATACTATTTCAACAATGCAAATATGAGCTTTTGAAAAAGGTACTACCACTGTGATTACATTTCTCCCTTTTGTTTTAACTGAGATCTATTCATTTATTCCACACTTATTTACTGAGCACCTACAAAGTGACAGGTATGAAAGTAGGAGCCAAATAAGAATACAGTGTAAAATATTCTTTATAGAACTTTTTTGATCTAGGGCATTTTTTAGCTGTTTTTTCACCAAATAATGCTACCTGGATAATTCAATTTTTCCATGTTTAAATTAAAAGCCTGTATCTGTAAACAAACAAACAAACAAACAAAGTGAGATGTCTCAGATGCTCAGACCTGAGCCTGAGATAATTAGCACTTATAAATATTAGCTGCTATTATTATTGCAATTATCATCATAAGTCTTTAACTGCCCTTCATCCATCTCAACAATCAAAGCAGGTAAATGAAGAAATAAAAGATATTTCTGGCTTGGTGTGGGCAGGATGACGCATACTTATGGGTTGTGCAGAAGGGCTCTACATGGGGATAATGGGGGCTGTGCCTCCAGCCTTCACTGTGAGGTCATGCAGCTCAGTCTTCCCCTGTGTGTCTCTGGCACCTCCTGAGCTGCTGTCTCTTTGATGGAAGTCAGGGTAATTGCCTGTGAGCGAGCTAGATTGCTATAAATGTCCAGCGTGACTGTGGAAATCATATGTTGAAGATGGCAAAGAGTGCATTATTACCCTGGAACCCTGAATGACTTCATGGAGTAGACTAGACAGTCTCTCTCCTCTACTCCCCTCTACTTAGGCTTACCGTGATTAAGAAATAAATACCTATTATGCTATATATATAAAAAAGATGTTTCTAATATCTAATTTTGAAAAGTATAGAATTTATTTAAAACATTTAAATAAACTCATCACATATTAAACACATTGGTTACCCCAAATTACAGTCTGCACAGAATTCAGTCTATGCCCTTATTATGGGCTGAGTTGTGTCCCTTAAAAATTCATATGTTGAAGTTCTAACCATTAGTACCTCAGAATGTGACTGTATTTGGATATAGAGCCTTTAAAGAGGTAATTAAAGTAAAAATGAGGTGACGTGAGTGGACCCCAATCCAGTATGTCCTTCTAAGAAGAAGTGAATAGAATACAGACACACACAGAGGAAAGACCATATGAAGACACCGGTGTGTCCCTTAAAAATTCATATGTTGAAGTTCTAACCCTTAGTACCTCAGAATGTGACTGTATTTGGATATAGAGCCTTTAAAGAGGTAATTAAAGTAAAAATGAGGTGACGTGAGTGGACCCCAATCCAGTATGTCCTTCTAAGAAGAAGTGAATAGAATACAGACACACACAGAGGAAAGACCATATGAAGACATTGAGAAAAGAAGGCCACCTACAAGCCAAGAGGCCCTCTGAAGAAACCAACACTGTCAACACCTTGATTTTGGACTTCTATCCTTCAGAACTATAAGGAAATAAATTTCTTTTGTGTAAATCATCCAGTCTGTAGTATTTTGTTAATGGAAGCCCTAGCAAACAAATACAGTACTAAAAAAAAAAAAATTAATGTTATTACCATCCAAAAAATAAAGATCACAATGTGGGGAGAATCTATTTTACCAAATGCTATCATAACATTTAATTTAATATACATCAACCTCTGTATTGCAAGACTGAGCCCAAATCAAATGTATGTAACATCAATTTCTATACATGCTGTTACTACATATGTGCAGTAAAGAACGTGTAAATTATTTCACTGGTTATATTAGAATTATTATTTTTTAATTTCACACATACCTTTTACTTGAATTTCAACAAAGGTCAAAAATAATCCCTAATTATTTGGTTAATAATTCAATTAAAGAAAAGAACTATGAATAGTGGGCTGCTTCCAAAATTAATTCAGCAACAAAACTCTAGTAATCTAGCATAAAGGGCAAATTTAGGAGATAGTCTTTATGAAGATTAATAAGTAAAAGGTTTTTTAAAGCACAATTACTTACTTTCATCAGGTATACTTTGTTATGAATTAAGACCATTTCAAAGAATAGTATATCATGAGAGTTTTCATAAAGGAATCATAGAGACTGATTAATCCATTTTGCCTTCAACACTTTATTCGCCCTTCAACAATCATGAAGAAAATATGTCAAAGATATTTAAGTAAGCCAAAATACAAGCTCAGGGATGTCAACTTAAAAGCCTCCCATAAAACTCATCTATAATAGACTACTATCACCACAATATAGCACGATTAATGAAGAATGAACTGAAAGATAGCCTCTTGCAGCCTTCAATATTGAGTAATATAACAGTAAATTAGCTTTTATTGCTTTTATACAATAGAGTAATCAAGTATTCCCTTTTACACTGAATTGGCTCTTTTTCTAAATTACTGTAAAACTACAATTGTATATTAACATGAGACCAATCAGAAAGACAGCATTTTATAAAAAGTTGTAGGAGATAAATTTTTGTGGCATAAAATTATATTCCTACCTCTAGATTTAATAATCTTAGGACATTGAGTTGCAAACTGATTTACTTAAGTGGTCAATTCATAGCCTCTTTCTTTCCCTTGAATACACTCAGAAATTGAACCAGGGTTAGAAGAGCACTAAGAATACCTTTATGTTTATTCTTTTTTACTCTAACAACACTCTAATATCACCCATAAAACAGCTAATTGCTATTTTTAATAAGTAAGGAGATATTTAAAACAAAGAGTGCATAATTAGAAGTTCTATAAAGCAGGCACAATTCCAAAATTGATATCATTATTTTGTCATAAAAAATTTAAATTCTAAAATATAAAACTAATAACGTTGAAAACTCCATTGCTTGATTTGAATGTGCATAAACAATTAAGCACCTAGTAACTGTTCACCGAAAAAAAACAAAAAGCCACTATTTTTTAAATTTTGGATTCTTGCTTTACTTTTGAAGTTTAGGGACTTTGTGGAGATATGATCGTTCCTCTTAAGGAATGCTTAGTTTTATATGGTTCATGGGCATACACAGTATCACCCTTAGGACCTAGGCAACAGTGCCCACCCTGAGCCCTGGACGCTAGAGGGGTCTCTCCATTTTAACTCTGACCATCTCTCTTTCCACACGATAAATCCAGAGGACAAAGAACTTGCCCCGCCCCAGAGCCTGCCCTGCCCTGCCCTGCCCTGCCCTTCTGAGTACCAGGGCACAGAAATTTGTGTCCAAACAGACTCAAGCCAGCTGCTAGAGCCTCCTGGGTCTCCTATAAGACCTTCGCTGTCAGGACAGTAGACCTTGCAGGTGGTAACCTCTCTAGCCCGAGTAGTGGCCAAGGGGCTGCCTGCCGTTTGTAGAAGTGTGGGAAGAGTCCTGCCTGGGTTGTGTGCAAGAACACCTCTCCTGGTTTAGGAAGGCCAGATCTGGGAGGAAAAGGGTTGGGCTGCCCTACAGGCTGAGTCTCCCCACACACCACCACATTCCAGTGGGAAAGTGGAGACCCAGCATTCTAAACTCACACTTGGCCTTCTAGATCACTATTTCTCAAAGCAGGTAGAAAGGACCTATTTTTTAACCAATGTATGAGTTTGATTTATAACTTTTAAATATTTCTACATAGGGTCTGAGGGCCTCCATGTACTTTTGCCCCAAGTCCCACAAATTTTAGAAGCAGGCCTGGATACATGCCACAACGCAAACTTCAAACCACTCAATTCTCATAAACCTAGCACCTGGTACAAAGCCTACAACAGCAAGAGTTCAATAAGCACCTGACAGATGAATAATGATATATGGCCAAAAGGACTGAAAAAAAAAAAGG